ATATATATATATATATATATTCGTTTATTTTATGAAATAAGTTCATCTAAACTTACTTTGTTTAATAATTCATGCTTTACATTAAATCTTAAAATTCAACCATTAAATTTAAAGTTCTTAATGAATATATCAAATCTGTTAATTTTTAAAAATTTTAAAAAATATTTAATATTTTATTTCATTAATTTAAATTGATAGATAATCATAAAAATATTTTATATGTTAACATATTTTTACTTAGTTGGAATCCAATTAATCTTTTTTATTTCTTGAAGTAAATTTAGGGTCATGATAGTAATTTACTACTTAATTTGTAAAAATAACTTTGTTCAAATTTAAGCAACTCATAAAATAGACCAGAGCTGATATAATAATGATGTGATACAGAGAGTTGCTTAGAGATGCTCTAAACTTATAATAAATGCTCTTTCTCACGCTTCCCGCATTTCCCACGTACGCCTCATCCATACTTGCCTAACACCATGAGAACTCCATTACAGCACCATTTTTAAACTCAAACTCAAGCATGGTCATCAACACCAACCCAACCTTTAAACTAGCTTGCAAATATGAGCATTGAGATTCTCTCTCTCTCTCTCTTTTTTTTTTTTTTCTTTTCTTTTTTTTCTCTCTCTTCTCTTTCTCTATAATCGCCTTGATTCCAAACAAGTTTTGTCTTCACCATATTTTGTTATTTTGAGAATTCAAATCGTCACTTAACTTCTACTGCTAGCTTCAGCACACTCTCACTCCTCCAATATTATATGGTTTCCATTTTTCTTTTTTTATAATTATATTGGTCTATTGTCAATTGTATGGAAATTAAGTTCTAAAGTGACGATGGTGTAGCAACAAATTTTCAACAATAATAAGTAATCATTGATGAGACTTGGAAAATGAGAAAGGAGAGAGAAATTGCATTTATTATTTTAAAAATTAAGTAATAAATTAACATGATGACCTTAAATTAAGTTCAAGAAATAAGAAGACTGATTGCATTTTTTTTTTTTGGAACTAAAGGTTTACATAACTAACATACTCTAACTAAATACCGAGTGTCACCATGTTAGCAAATTCTATATATATGCACACACTAGAAAGAAAAATAAAAGACACTTTGTATATTAATATATATAATTTTAAAAAATTGGATAAAAATTTAAATTAAGCTAAAGTATGATCTCATGTAAAGTCAATTTACCCTATCTCCAGTGTAAGATAAAAAAAAAAGATCTACTTTGTGTCTTAATATATATAATTTTGAAAGTTTTTTTTTTTTTTTTAGATAAAAGTTGATATTAGAAAAAACACATCTGTATGTAAAGTTAGTCTTAGGCATGGCAATCTAACTCGCCTCCGTGGGTACCCGCCCGAACCCCTCCCGATTTGGATGGGGAAACCCGTGTTTATCGGGTTCGGGTTCGGGTTTTCCCCGATTGATAAAATCGGGGGCGGGGGCGGGGATGTTAATACTCACCCCGCCCCCGTCCCCATACCCGCCCCCGCCCCACTTAATAAT